TCCATGTTAGGTTAGATAAGACTATCTTAATTCAAAAATCTATTCGTAGTGTCCTATTCACCCACAAATCTCTCTGAACAGATTCCCAGTACTACAAACAGGACCTGTCGAAGTTGGCTAAGGCAACTTCAGCTCCAAGGTCAGGCGGGCCCCAGTGAATCTGTTCCCCCTCTCTGGTATCCCCCACCCCAGGAAATTACCACATACGTCCCTACACACTGACTTTCAAAGGCTCTCAGCAGTACCTCTGGTGCCAAGATCCAGTTTCATGCTATTTGTCAGTTGTTATCTCTGGCAAAGGAAAAGCTTCTCCCTGTTTTCCATTGCTATGTTGTTAGGGAGATGTGTTCTGTATGGATGCATGTTGAGAGGGTGTGATGTGTGTGACCACTTGTTCCTGTTTTGTGGTCTGTTTGCACGTTTATACTGTCAGGTGAACTTCCACAAATTAACTTTTGAGAAACATTCTTGATTTGCAAAGGTAAACTGTAAATGTATGAAAACTAAGGTAACTCAAACAAATACTGAGTTAATTTCTTCCTCCCGGGTGTGCTCTGCCACTTGCGTGACCAACAGGATTCATGAAGGAAAAACAGTCGCTAGGGCTCTTCAGCTCATAGACTTTGCATTGCTATTTTTGGTGAGTTTTCACTTTTTTTCTGTGGCGTCAAGGAGACAGGAGAAAAGAGCCAGCTGAGTCAGTGTGAGCCTGGTTCTCATTTGTGCTGACCTTGCGTTACAGGTCTCCCTTACCAGTGTCACTCACACTTCACACGGCAGGAGGGAGCAGAGTGTGATGGACGGGAGAAGGGTAGAGATGACAAGGAAAAACAAGATGTCCTTGTTTGGATTTAGAAATGCAATCAGATTCTGCGTTATGGAGCCAAAACAACAGGCCAGTGTTTGAACTCTGCCACATAGTTAATTAGTGAGAAATTACAAGAATTGAAGGGAATGATTCCACTGAGAGTTTGGAGTCATTTTAGCCTCTCTGATTGCCATTTTGACAGAGTGTTTAGTGCACGTTGGTTGTACGTAGTTTTAAAATAGAACCATTAATCAAGTTTGTAAATGTTAAAAAAATAAATTGTCCTCTGGATTGCAGAGCAGAGCAATCAGTCAGCAAAGTAAAATATGAATGTATGAAAAATACAGTGTTCTCCTTCAAAAAAAATCTTATTTCCCCACAGCTCTTGAATGTTTCTGTGAGAGTGTGCAGGTGTCAAATACTCTGGTGAGAGCCCAAACATTTCAGTTTATGGTCAGTCAATCAATCTGTTGGCTTTTAGGAGGCTGAAGTACCTCATGTAAGACATGAAATATGAACTACATAAAAATCGTTCCAAGAACTCTTGCAAATGTGCAAATGTTACAGCTATGTTGGGAATTTTGGAGGGTAAACATCACATAATAAACTTAACAACAGTGACAGACCTGCTAACATTTTGGCCAGTTTATCTTCAGTTAGGGAAATGCTACACAACCAAGCTACAATATCTTAATGCTGTTACACATTCATACAGTCATATATGAAGAACATATTAGCAGCTTATGGATCTAAACACTCTGGACAGATGAATGTTTACATTTTAAGGTGAGATGATGTAGGATAAGGCACACTGAATTTACCTTCACTTTACAATACTCTTGTTAGTTGCACAAGTAGAGAAGAGCCATGAAATATGGACTGACTCAATAATTCCAGTAACACAGCAATATCCATTTACTGCTCGCCAACATAGTCATCACTGACTAATGGTTATACTAGTCAAGTGAGGCTGTGAATTTATTAAATCAAAAGTCTTGAATAAGCTACCATAGCCTTTCTCTTGACTAAAGATTATTTATTTCACAGATAATCTTATTTTTCAGAATATTCTGAGGTTGCCCACCTTATGTGTGATGAAAATTGAGTGGCCACTGGAGTAAGGCAAGTGGCAAAGCTAGGTCCATCACCAGACAGCAGAACCCTAAATACTTTCAGTGACTGCGAAGAATGTTGAGCGGTAAGCCCATTTATTCTTGTTCTGAATGTGCCATTCAACCCTGCACAGGTTGTGGTGTCGCAAGCCAACACATTACAGGGGTGGGGCACCTGTCTATTTAGTAATTATTTATTTGCATGTTGCATGAATTACGGGCCATGGTTACTAAGGCGGAGTTCAAAGGTCAAGTGGATGGCACCCAGTTGGAATGTACAGAGGAAAGGGAGGGATGCTAACTAAGCGTTTTCCAGGATTGTTCCATCGGCAAAAATCCTAATGCACTCCATTCTCTCCCTTATCCCTTCTCTCTGCTCACTCTCTTGTGTTTTCTCTCTCTCCTGAGATCTGTGTTCCTACAGCAGGAAAGCTGGTCCTGGTCCGACTGCCTGTCAGCCTGTTAGTCAGCGAGGATTGTCAGAATGTCAGTAGCAGCTTAGTCTCACAATAAAGTTTGGAGTCCTGATTTGCCTTTTTTCCCCCTTCATTTTCCTTAATTTGTTGTATCCTTCTATGTCCATGTGTCAGTTATGAAACCTCATCGTTTCTCCATCTACTTCTTTTTCTGTCACAATACTCTCCCCCTCTGCTGTTCTCTCCCAGACTCAGTTCTTCTTTGCCCGCTTTATTTGTGTCCAAAATGTGAGCCAAAGGTCTGGCAGAGATACCGAATTCTCGGCCCTCAATCAGGAAGATAGGCAGTGAGGAAAGGCAGGACAAAGGCAGAACAGGACAACAAAACGACGTCTTTTCAAAACAAAAAAGGGGCTGCACCAAGCCTTTAAAAGGGGAAAAATTGATTGTGGTGTAGGCAAAATATGTTTCACTTTACAAGCTTTTATGCTGATTTATGATTGACTCTGAGTCCAGGTTTTTCTTAGATGGAAAAATTCTATATTCTGCACAGAGCATGTTCAGCATTTTAAAACACCACAGTTGCCCATTTATTTTCCCATGGCTCTGCCTATCACGTGTACACCTGATGTTTTTCCACTGTGTGTGGAGCATGTCCCAAAGCTCTGTAGGTAGCTGACCTCTCACTGTCAAGGAAAGTCAGGCAATACCCTCTGCAGATTTCTTTCAAATAAAAACAATAATGGCAGGCTTTACTTGTGGGGGTTACAACTGGCATTCTGTCCAGATTATTTGTCTGTTACTCCTGAGCAAAAACAATGTCATGCATGTAAACCTTTGTAATGGATTCAATAAGAGCAGAGCAAATCAATGGCGACATCTGATCTCAAAGCATTCACTTATTGTTTTGCATTTGGTCATGCACAGAGAAAACAATAGCAGAGAGTAGTTTCTCACCAGAGTCACAGTGTTGTCTGAAAGATCCTTTTTAATTAACTTCCCATTTTAATCTCCCATGAATGTAATCTGACAATACGTTATTCAGAGAACTCAAGCCATGCATAATTTGTTTCCAGTAGGGGAACCAGCTTGCTGTGCTGTTTTGTGGCAACTCCTGTTGACTTGGTTCTATTATGATTCTTCTCTGATTATTTTATTTATTCGAATGTAAACAGCTTCTGTCTTCTGAACATGTACATCCACAGCTTGGCTGTCATGTGCCCGCCAGCCTGATGCAAGAGTCTCTCCATGAGGCTGAGAGAAGCACAGCTGTTTTATGCTTGGATTATGGTGCATGCGCTCGGATACAGAAGCATTCAAAAGTTAGATTACCAGAGACACAGTAGTCCCCCCTGTAATCATCATAATTCACAAATGTATTATTTACTGATAACAGACCATAATTAGCATAAGGCGGAGGAACCCAGATACTGTTCTCTACTTTTTTAACTTTGAATATCCAATCCCTCAAAATCAGACAGTATAAAATAATGAATCACACCACATGAAGCTTAACTTTCAAAGTAACTAATTTTTTTTATAATGATTTGCATTCTATATTACTTTTAAATTACAGCTAAAATGTACAGGTCTCTGTTGGAGCATTTTTTTTCCTCTCTTGCTTCCTTTTTGTTATGGTACTTTATTCATGATCTCTCTCTCCTATTTCCATCTTTCTCCAAACCATGTCTCATATGAATTACATTCATATGCAACTATTCTGCAGCATCGATTTATATTCAATGGCATTGCCAGTGCAGGAAGTAGTGTGATGTTCATACAACGAAGAGCAAGAGTGAGATGTCTGTACAGCACCAAAGTAACAAATTCAAGGTAGTTTAAGACATTAACCACACTTCAGGCACCATGCACAAATTCAGATTTCTTTGTGATTTTGGCAATCTCTAGAATTTCTAAACTGATCTAAATGTTTGAAATTATGTATGAAAATGAAACCATATCATTTGAAAGTACACATACTGTGAGTTTCATTGTCAATTACAGAAACATTTTATGACATGCAGAGATTCAACATGTTTGTTATGTAACAAAATGAATAATTGTTGTTTTGACACTCTTTACAGATCATATGTGTTTCCAAATGTTCTCCCCCCAACAAAAGAATCTCAGCAAACTTCCTGTGGCTGATTGGGGAAGAACCGCTCCATCTTTCTGTCTTCAGTACAGACTAGTCTTTTAGCTTCAGATGAGTCTGCCCAAAGTGAAGAAGTAAAACAGGGAATTAGGGAGTACTTACAGTAAGAGGGAGATCAGTTGTATGGAACTTTTTGGCCAAGAAGAGACGTGGAACAGGCTTATCATTGAGACAAGCCAACTGCCTGTCGTTTCAGCTTAAACCATCGGACTGCTTAAGCACCCTAGGCATGAAAATTTAGCTCAACACTTTGTTTAGATTAAGTTGGAGGGAAAAGTATTGCTAAGCAGCATGGCTTATGTCCACATTATTTGTACTTAAATAAATTAACTCCAAGTCTAGTGGGTTTTTTGACAGATACGCTTGCAGCAACGTCATGGTCTTCTGCAGAATGACAGCTGAGGAGATTGGGGACTGATTTGATTTAGTAGCTGTGGCAATAAAATATATGATTACAATATATGATCATTTTGATGTACTGAGAAAAAACTTGCATACATTTCAATGGTTCAAATGTTATATTATTATTTATGTGGTTTATATGTATATTGCACCATTTAAAACTACATTGGTTACATTGACAGTGATGGCATATATCCCAAAAGTAAATTGTACAAATTGATTGGTCAGTATTAAAGCAATTACCATAAGGCAGAAATGACAACAAATGTTGGAAGTGTGAAGTGTTCAGACATCCTTAAAATGTTTAAATTGGATTGTTTCTATCAGCAAAATCACAATGTTTCATTATTGCGACCATTTTGTGGCCTCACATGTAGAATTTCTGACAATTCAATCGGGCATTTGGGATTTGCCAGTCTGAAGGCCAATCAACAGTGAGTGAGTAGGTGTGGGCATGATTCATAGGCACTGAGCCCAGGTTAGTTCTGAGTATAAGCAAAGCACACATTTCTTTGTTGTTGGTTGTTTCTATGTCATTATTGTATTGATGCAGGTACGACTGTTGATACATTAAAATGTGGTACCACCTTTAAGAAAATCAGCAGGGAACCATAGTGGTCCAGGGTGCTTTTCATATAATAAATCACTACTGTAAGTGTTTTGTTTGAAGGCACTGAGTCACTACAGCTGCCAGTAGTAGTAGTAGCTGAGTCAGGATACTGTGGCTCCTGTGTTTGATTATAACCCAGTGTCTCAGGGCTCCACACGTCTCCCAGGGTGTCTCTACAGGCTGTTTCTGTGAGGAAAATAAAGGAAAAAAGGACAATGTGTTTTGGCCCGCATGAGTAATGAAACCACATTTCTTCTCTCTTGCACGGAAAGGAGGAAAGGAGAGAGAGAGAGAGAGAGAGAGAGAGAGAGAGAGAGAGAGAGAGAGAGAGAGAGAGAGAGAGATTGTGACACTGCAGGGATGTAAAATCATATAAATTAACTAAATCTTGGGTTTTCCAAAAATGTGTTTTTCTGGCTGATAAAAACCTGGATTACTTTCACTGATTTATAACAGTGTTGAGCTGTGCGTGATACTTATTCCGCAGCTTTTTACGTCCCTGAAAGGTCAAAATGTCCAAATGGATTGTCCCAGTCAAAGTGGGTGGTGTAGCTGCAGAAAAAAAAACTGGTCACATTTGAAGGAGGTTGCTTTTTTTGTTTTACTCTTATGAATGGTGGAATTCTGGAAGAATTGGTCTGGCGTCTTAACCGATGACAGCTCAAGACCACATAATAGAGATATCAAGCATACTGAGCAGTGAATGATGAAGATTTATGTGGGCGTTGTGGATATCTTCGAGGTGTCCCCCATGGATCCCACATTTCCTGTCATGTCCAGAAAGTAGACTCCCTCCACAACCTCAGCATGAGAGTTCACACTCATCACTGCCACCTCCCCCTGTGTCCATTGCTGCTAACTCCCTTTACCTCCCCTCTCCCCAAACTCTTATAGTTAGATTTAGATAGATGCATCTGGGTATTGCACCTTTCCAAAGCCCCTTTCTATCATACTTACAGTGCACTGTCATATTGAATTATATCTAGTGTGGAAAAACACAGGCCAAAACACTTGCTGATTGAGGAAAAACAAGGGCTGGCTTAGTCTGACAGCGGGGAAGGAGGCAAAAAATGTAATGTATTTTTACAAGTCACAGTTGGTTTGACTTGTTATTATCTGCCTCTTATTTGCTGCACTCGCTTGACGCTAGTTGGTTTCTTCTTACCCATATTTGTTTCTGAGTTTTTACACAATTAAAGGTGGTGCCGGTCAGTGCTTCAAGGATTGTATTCCAGCAGTGTCAATGTGAAAGATGGCTGCACAGTAACTCTTATCCCTGGAAAGACAGGGGAGATTTGGACATAGGCTTCGTTGGCAAAATCATTAATAAGCAAAAACATGACTTTGTGCCAGGGGAATGAACACACAGTGCACAGAGGTTCATGTAACTTTTATACTTGATTAAACCATGTAGGTCATGCTGACATGGAGAAAATTGAAAGAATACTCTTGTGAACCCAATTTCTTCCCTATAAGGTCTCACGAAATCACATACATTTAAAGGTATATTTAGGATTTTGATTTATGGTTACAGTCCAGGTCTTAAGACAGGTGACAAGTAGGAATTTTCTAAATTTTAGGCTCTTGCAAATTACAGGATAACATTTACTGGCCCTCCATGGTGACGTGCTCTATATTCCACAGAAAGATGAAGAGAAGGCATGAACTTGAAAATCCATTGTTACAGCCAAGTCAGGGCACCATTTGTCTTTTTCATTCTGCGGTTTCCAAGCGTTTTTAGAGCAACATCCAGTTTTCTCTGACAGCCCTGTTACATTCTTTCCTGCTCTCTCTGTTAAACAGCAGTCAGAACACCAACACTCAGCACATGCGGTTGCTATTTGTAGACATACTAGTAAATACAAAACACTATCTTCCCTCGGATTTCAGAGGATCTACAGGGGGGATTTTTGACAGAAGGCAAGTTTGTTTTTTTCACCCACCCCTTAGTGCTGAACCTCCTCCTCTTTCTCTCGCTTCTCCTGACCCCTGCTGTGTGAGTCGTCCAGGTTGTAAAGGATACGGTTTGTGGCTGCACATAGCTCCGATGAACTGAATTCCTGGCAGCGTGGCATGTCACTCGGAGGAACAGTAAGATGTCAAGACCAGCGAGCTACGAAAGAAGGAGGGAGAGAGAGGGGAAAAAAACATTAGCCCAAGAGATTGTGTACTGGAGTAAGATGGATGAGGTGAGAATTCCATTTCATTACAGAAGCCGCTCAGAGTGAAACAGTTTAGTTTTTTTACTCTTTTGACATAAACATAGTGTTTTGCTTACAATGAAGGGGGGCAGACATGGGGATGGGGGGGCACAAACAGACAGCACAGAGAAAGGACAACACCAACACACGCAAGAGAAGAGGGATGGAAGGTGGGGACAACAGGGAATAGCAGAGGGAAACACCAATTGAAGAAAGCAACGAAACCTGCAATCGAACAGAGAGGGGGGCTTGGGGAGGAGAAAAACAAACAAACACACAAACAAACAAACACAAACAAACAAACAATAAAAATAATAATAACAGTAAAAGACAACCAGCCGAACAGCAGCAATAAACAGCTGACATAGTAAGACAACTAAGAGAAAAATGAAAACAAGAAACAGTCACGCACAATAAATAAGCAACACAACACAGCCACGAGAGCTGGAATAATAACAATTCATTTAAATAAGTAACTGAAAGAAAAGCATCAGGAATAATTACCAGGGGCAACCTAAATTTGTTTGTGTCTATGTGTGAGACTGTGTGTGTCTGTGTGCGTGTAGGTGAATGTGTCTGTATGTGTGTGTGTACATGTGTGTGCGCATAAGCCTGTTAAAGAATGTAGTTGTTAGTGAGAGTGGGACGCCACGACTGTGCCACACCGACCCCAGCAACAGGCAGGCAAGAACCCCAGTAGCCAACAATGAACATGTGTAACACGTCTTGTACTAATGGTTTACCAGTACAGTGCGTACTGATGCATACATAGGTAACTACAAGGGAACAAGATAAAAAAAAATGACCCTACTTCTCACTTGATTTATTGCCTCAGTAAACTCTTTCCTAATGAATTTATGGTCTCAATTGTTAGTTTCAAGTCTTCTTCAATATAGCATGATGTTGATTTTGTAAATGACTGTCCCATTTAAAGTAAAATAGACGAGTGGCTACTTTGTCATTGACAAGTCACTACTACTGCGAACTGTAAATCAGGATAGAGGTGAATAGTATCCACTGTACAGTTTCAACTTGCCATGAATGTGTTTTTGGGTGCTGCCTGTGTTTTTGTCTAAGAACTTGGAGCCTTCCATAGTGTGTTTTCAGTTTGGTCATCTAAAAATGTCCAGCGGGTGGTTGTACAAAAAGACACTCTAAAGAGTTGGCTGTTCATTTTTTTTCTGGTAAGTGCATTTTAGTTTTAAGCCAGTTTTTCTCTAGCCAAAATTAGCATCCCAATTAATACCATAGTTAATGAGAATTATGGATGCACCTTACTAACCAAGCTAGCTAGCGCCACCCTCTCCGAATATTGTCGTTTCTGGTTCCAAAAACCCAATGCCAAACTTGAGGCTTCAAAACAATAGTCCACAAACCAATGGGTGATGGCACAGGCATTAGAACCACTTCTTTTATACAGTCTATGGATGTATCACATCAACAGCATAATTACAAATAACTGACTGAACAAATATCTCAAGGCATAAACCATTCATCCCATACACAAACAAATCTAATAATTATAATTTTTTGCCTTGAAAAATGAAAGAAGCTCTTATCTTGCTGTGTAGTGCGCGTATGCTGAGACTTTTGGGTCAGACGCTGACAGCTTTGCTTTAGAATTGCAGAAGATAGCAGTTAATCATCACTGATATGATCACATCACCTGTACAAATACAGAAAGATAAATCTGCCTCATGGCTAAAATGGGCAAAATTATTTAGCCATGCATGACTTTTACATCGTTACAGAGACCTGCCATATCAACAACCCGGATCAAGCACTTGACAGTTGGTCCATGTTCCGAGCTGTCAGCGCAAAGACTCCGGCAAGATGAGAGGAAGTGGACTCTGTGTTTTACATCGATGATGCTTGGTGCTCAAACGCAGTTTGAAAATTAGCTTTGTTAAACGTTAGGTCTTTGGCAAGAAAAACATTTTTAATCCATGATTTTATAATCACTCACAATCTTAATTTCATGTCTTTAACTGAAACGTGGTTGGACCAAGATAACAGTGCAGCTGTCCTTATCGAGTCTACCCCTCCCAACGTCAGTTTCATGAGTGAAGCTAGAGTGCATAAGAGAGGAGGTGGAGTTGCCATTTTGTTTAATGACTCCCTCCAATGCAAAAAGATGTCTTATGGGAATTTTGCTTCTTTTGAATATGACTCTTGACTCTTCAGCTGAATACCTCTTCTTGAGCTATTTTTCTAAATATCTACAGGCCCCCTAAATACTGTCCAACTTTTTTGATGACTTTGGTGAACTGCTGTCTTTAACTGTGTGGTTATTGTTGGTGAACATCCATGTTGACAACCCCCAGGACAGAGGGACTAAAGAAATGTGTTGTGTTCTTGATAATTATGGACTGACCCAACATGTGACAGAGCCCACTCACAATAAGGGGCACACTTTGGACTTAGTCATCTCCAAGGGTCTGGACATTTCCAAGGTTGTGGTGACTGATGTTGCTCTCTCTGATCATTCCTGTGTTTTCTTTGAGAGTGCTATCTGTGTGCACACAAATGTACAAACAGAGGTAATCACAAAACAGCATATCACTGAAAACACTAGTGAAAAATTTACTGAGGCTTTCTCCTCGACACCCGCCCTCTCACGTGTCTCAGTCAATGAGCTTGTAGATAATTTCAGTTCTAAAATTACAAATGTTATTGATGCCATTGCACCAGCCAAGGTGGTCTCTGGTAAGAGAAGATCTCAATTGCGAAATGCCACGCTGGTTATAACTCAAAAAAGACAGTGTCGAAAAGCTGAATGCAGGTGGTGGAAAACAAATCTCCAGGTTCATTATGACATCTATAAAGAGAGACTTCGCATTTATAAATTAGAACTGAGAAATTCAAGGCGGTCCTTCTTCTCTGACATCTCACCAAAAACACTAATAATGCACATGCCTTGTTTGCTACTGTCGACAGGCTAACTAACCCTCCTGTGTCTGTAGCCTCTGACCTTCTATCCACTAGAGCCTGCAATGAATTTTCCTCCTTCTTCACAGACAAAATTCAAACAATTAGACAAGCAATCAGTGCCTTCATATCAGGTACAGGTTATGTTCTGTCCCTGTGTCCGCATAAAAACAATTCACATAGCATGTGACAATTTGATTCTATTAACCATAAAAACATGGAGGACATAATACAACATCTGAAATCCTCTTCATGTTGCCTTGATATTCTGCCAACAGGTTTTTTCAAAAATGTGTCTAAATGCATGGCCTCAGATCGACTACAAATTGTCAATTTGTTCTCCTCTCTCAGTATTTTTCCCAAAGGCCCTGAAAACTGCAGTCGTTAACACTATTAAAAAAGAGCAATCTAGACATGTCACTAATGAGCAATTATAGGCCCATATCAAATCTCCCATTTTTAAGTAAAATCATTGAAAAAGCTGTTTTTCAATAGCTCTGTTACGTTCAGTGGTGGTTATGGCAGAGTTGAGCAATTTGGAGGACTCAAACGCAGGACACGTAGGCTAGCAGGTAAAGTTCAGATGGTTTATTCCAAGCAACAAAAAGCGAGCACACCTTCAAACTGAGTGGCTGATGACAAAGTCCAGAAACACAAAAGCTGTCCAAACAGAAATCCAACGGTGCAGGGAAACACAATGAGTAGGCAGCCAACGAGGGATCATAACGCACATAGAAAGTAATCAGCCAACAAAGACAAGACAGAAACACCAGGTATATATACACACACACATGGAGTAACGAGTAGGGCGGGAGCAACACAGGTGACAGAGATCAGGGTTAATGAGGGACAGGCAGGCAGGCAGAGAGAGAGGCAGAGAAAGGAGAGAGAGCGACACACAGGCAGAGAGAGAGAAGGGGAAAACAATGACAGACATGCAGAGGGATCACTGGGGTAACAGACAAGACAAGGTTACTGAATACTAGACAAGCAGACATGGGGCAGAGAGAATAACCAATAAGACAAACACACATGTACAATGAACAAGAACTCAAAAGGAGAATACAGAGCTAAAGTACAAAGGAGACTAGACCCAAAATAATGTAGACAAGGAACCTGAAGTAAATACTAAAACAAGAACCAAGGTGCAGGAAGAAGAACTAAGATGAGAGACAAGACTACCCTAAAACATGGAGATAAGACTAAGGACTAAGACAGACCATAATGAGAAAATACAGAAGAACATAAGGAAAACACTAAACATGAACTAAAGCACAGGACCAAGTACTAAAATGAGCGATAAGACAGTTACAAAGAAAACCTTAAAGCGAATGAGCCATAATAAACTAGACTACAAAACTCCAAACCCTGACAATATCAAATAAACACAGGAAAAATAACAGCACAAAACCAAATCCTAACAAGCTTAGTGCTTTCTTGGCACTAAATAACTGTTTTGATGCCTTCCAGTCAGGTTTTCGACCACACCACAGCACTGAGACGGCTCTTGTTAAGATCTTCACTGACATCCATTTAAACACTGACAGTGGCAGAATTTCAGTCTTAGTATTATTGGATCTCAGTGCTGCATTCAACACGGTCGACCACAACATATTACTAGACAGACTTGAAAACTGGGTTGGATATTCTGGCACAGTACTAAACTGGTTTGAATCCTACTTAAAGGACAGGGACTACTTTGTGTCTATAGGTAATTACCCATCTGAGCTGACAAAAATGACATGTGGAGTTCCCCAAGGCTCCATTCTGGGGCCTCCTTTGTTTAACATTTACATGCTTCCACTGGCTCAGATTATGAAAAACAACAAAATATGTTACCATAATTATGCGGATGACACACAGATTTACATAAACATTTCACCGAGGGACTATGATCCCATATGGGTGCTGAGTAACTGTATTGAACAGGTCAATGATTGGATGTGCCAGAATTTTCTTCAATTAAACAAAGATAAAACTGAATTTATTGTTTTTGGAGCCAGGGAGGAACGATTAAAAGTCGCTCGACTTCAATATGTAATGTTAAGAACCACAAATCAAGCCAGAAATCTTGGTGTAGTCATGGACTCAGACCTGAATTTGAGGAGCCACATTAAGACAATT